TACAAACTTACATTGTTTATTAAATTACAAATACAATGTAAAAAGTAAATACATATTTACAAATTACAAATTTACAATTTAATTTGAAGCTGAGGGATCGTCTTCAAAATTAAATGTTAATCGATTAAATTCATCGATCCATTCTTGGCTTGCCGGTGAAATTGTATCTTGTAGACGTTGATCGGCCCGATCCCAATCCTTAATGCAAACCAAGACTTCAACAATATTCCTTTGCAATGCATTCCGGCGTTCCTCAAGTATTCTTCCTGTCGTATTGAAGGCTTGTTCGGATGAAATAGTGCAGACTGGGATCGAAAATATATCCATTGCCAATCGAGTTAGGATTGACCAAGTTAATGCTCGTGCCCTCCACCATTGAACTAAGTCAAACGATTCCACCGCATTGCTGACTACTAAGCCTTCACTGAGGTATGTCATAAGCTTGTTAAAGCTGCTGCCGCCACTGCCACTTGTTGATGAAGATCCACTTCCACTCACAGCTTCCGTTTGAGTTGTCTTCTTCTTCTTCTTTAACCCGAAAACATTCAAGAATGAATGCGGGTTTTCATCTTGTTGTTGCGGTTCCTGTACTCTAGAGTTTGTGCTTCTAAACCTAATCTCATATTTACTATAGATCTCATATATTTTTGCCTTTATTTTTGAAAATTCGTCCATACAAGTGATGCCTAAAAATTCACCTAAGTTTTCTAAACCACTTTCTAATCGTCTAATTTTAATCTATGATCAAAAATTGTACCTAAACCATATAACAAAGGCAACTTAGACCAATATTTTTTAAATTTTTTTTCCATAGAATGAACAATAACTCTTAAGATTGGGTCATCCCTATATTCGTGAAATAAAATACTAATTCTTAAAAGTTCTCCTAAAGCTAAAGGTGATGGTGGATAGTATGTTCCACTAAGTTTTAGAGTAACTTTATGAAACCTACCTAAAAATTGATACAAAACTTCAGCAATTTGCCAATCAAATTCATCTATATGTCATACTCCTAATTTTGCACACATATAGTTTGTTATAGCATTCTTATAAGGGATGCATTGTTGAAGCATAATATAAGTTGAGTTCCATCTTATAGGCATATCTAACGCTAATGCTCTAGGAGGTATATTTAATGCTTGTAAGAACCTAAACCAATCTTCTTGTCTTTGGTTACTACCTTGAATCCATGCAAGACTATATCTAATTCTTTTAATGTGATTACCCATTTCTTTTAAACCGGATTTAACTATTAAATTGATTACATGACATGCACAACGTTGGTGGAAAATAGTACCGTCACCGAATAGACTTAAATCATTTTCAAAAAATTCAATTGCTTTTGTATTGGCACTAGCATTATCTAATGTTATAGCCATTACTTTATCTCTTAAACTAAATCCATCAATTACATTTAATATTAAATCCGCGCTATGTGATCCTAGAACACATTTAAAACCTCATATTATCTTATCTAAATCAAATCCTTTAAAGTAATGTCCGGTTACAGCTAAATAATCTTTATTGGCAACGGCAGACTAAATATCTATCGTTAACACAACGCACCCACTAGTCGAGTGTAGAAGGTTTATTAATGCATCTTTTTCTTTTTTAAATAATTTTAATAAATCTTTCCTAAGAGAAGTTTTTGAAGTGAACTGTGCATTAGGATTGTGTACAACCTTAATATATCGTTGTCAATTAGGATGCTCTACAAAACTAAGTGGTTGATCTAAAGCAGCTATCATTCGCGCAACTTCCATACGATCTACTTGCGGATCGTATTTCCAAGTGATTAGACCACCGGTTGCGCGATCAAAAGATAGTTGTGTTTGGCGGAGTTCGAGTTCGCTAGATTGGCTAAGCTTTTGAAGACACTTTTCGGAGTGTCGTCTCAAGTGTGTGGTGCCGTGAATAGTGTCGCCTTGTAATTTAGATAAACAATATTTACACTGAGCTATATGTTTAGTGTTACCTTCATTATCCACCTCGTCAATTATGTCGAAGTGATCCCAAACTGTCGAGGTACGCTTGCATTTCCTCTTGGAGGTTGCAACACTTATCGACGCAGACGCAGACGCAGTCGCACTCGCCGCTTCTCCACGCCCACTATTGCGACCACGACCTCCAGTACGCCCACCATGGCTCGGATTAGTAGATTCCTGCGTAACAAACTCATTAGTGGGAAATTGCCCTTCTTCTACATTGTGTTGGGCATCAATGGGAATACCACTATAACCAAAATGATCCATTATAAAAAAAAATAAGATGAATTTGAGAGAGAGAGAGCTTTAGGATAATGTGATAGTTTTTAAAAAAAGTATGAGAGAGATTGAGAGAGATTGAGAGAAATTGAGAGAGAATGAGAGAAATTGAGAGAGTTTGAGTGAGAAAAATGTGGGGGAGATGGAGGATATTTATAGGGAAATTTTGGGGTTAAAAAAATGATTTTTTTTTCAAAAAAAAAGGGGATAAACGGCTATTTTTTGAAATTCGGGCAGGTTGGGCAATTCGGGTTTTCGGGCAAAATTCAAAAAACTAGCCGTTTCGGGTAATTCGGGCAGGTCGGGCAATTTGGATTTTCGGGCAAAAATTCAAAAAACTAGCCGTTTTCGGGTATTCGGGTAGAATTCGGGTAAAATTAAAAAAAGTAGCCGTTTTGCGTGAATTCGGGCAGTTTTCGGGTAGGCGAGTTCGGGCACTTCGGGCATGGTCAGAAAAATTCAAAAAAATTTCAGCGGACGGCGGTATACGGCGGTTCAACGGCGGCGGGCAAGAGAGTCAATGTCAAATTTGGGCTGCCCGAACCCGAATCCAAAAATCTAGCTTGGACGGGTGAGAAATGGACTTGCCCGCCCGAACCTGAAAAAATTCAGATTTCGGGCAGCCCGCCGACCCGAACTTCCAGCACGTCCTATGTTTGGAGCAGCATCCAACCAAAAATAAAACTGAAAACGTTTTTTCTCTTTCTTCTAAAAACTCACACTTTCTCAAAATAATTAAAACTTGTTTTCATTTTCCTATTTTGATTTTCTAAACGTTGAGCTTTTCAGTCCAAACGCGCTAGAGGTTTTCTCCTCCCTCTTAGTTGATAATTGGTGGATCCGGAGGAGTAAGGGAACGAGGGAGTCTGGACTTGAACGACGACATTCTGAGGTTGAGAGCAGGGCGATCCAACTTGACGCCGCCGCGGTGACCGGTTCCGTTCGAATAGCAGCGCCGGAAGCCATGGAAGACGGCAGAGCTTCTTCACCGGAGCATATGGAGAGTGGTGATGAGTGAGGGGGTTTCGTTGGTTTCAAAGAGGGAGAGTTGGGAAGAAAGGCTTAGGAAAGTGAAAGTGACGGGGATGGATGGTGGATTCAACGAGGAAGAGAAGAGCGTGAAGATTTTTTTTAAGAGCGTGAAGGTTTTTTTCTTTTTTTTTTTTTTTTTGTGGACAAAGCTTTAGTCTGGTATTGTAGACTGATTAGTACTGATAAAGCACCTGAAGGAAATTGGCAGAGTTATTTTGAAG